CTTTTATGGGTCCGGAGCCTAGAGCACATTAAAGTGAGGGCGATGTCTCGCGCTGACGCGCGTCCAAACGGTCGCAAATCACTCTAGTCGTCGTGCAGAACGCCGCGCTTGATCTGGTCCTGCTCCATGGCCTCGAACAGCGCCTTGAAATTGCCTTCGCCGAAGCCCTCGTCGCCGCGCCGCTGGATGATCTCGAAGAAGATCGGGCCGATCGCCAGGCCGGTGAAGATCTGCAGCAGGATACCGCCTTCGCCCCCGGGCCCGGCGCTCGGCGCGCCGTCGACCAGAATGCCCAGCTCGCGCAGCCGGCCGAGGTCCTGGCCATGGCCGGGCAGGCGCGCGTCGAGCTGCTCGTAGTAGGTCTCCGGCGGCGGGTCCATGAAGGGCAGCCCGCGCGCCTTCAGCGCGGCGACGCTGGCGAAGATGTCGTCGGTCGCCAGCGCGATGTGCTGGATGCCCTCGCCCTTGTAGGCCCGCAGGTACTCCTCGATCTGGCTCTTGTCGTCGGCCGACTCGTTGATCGGGATGCGGATCTTGCCGTCCGGACTGGTCATGGCCCGGCTGTGCAGGCCGGTCAGCTTGCCCTCGATGTCGAAGTAGCGCAGCTCGCGGAAATTGAAGAGCCGCTCGTAGAAGCCGGCCCAGCGGTCCATGCGTCCGCGATAGACGTTGTGGGTCAGGTGATCGATGTGGGTCAGGCCGACGCCCTGCGGGTGGCGCGGCGCATCCGCCGCCCAGACGAAGTCGACGTCGTAGATCGACGGCGCGCCGCCCTGGCCGTAGCGGTCGACCAGGTAGATCAGCGAGTCGCCGATCCCCCGGAGCGCCGGGATGTTCAGCTCCATCGGCCCGGCCTGGCTCGGCCCCGGCTCGGCCCCCAGCTCCAGGCAGCGCGCGTAGGTCGCGGCCGCATCCTCGACCCGGAAGGCGATGGCGCAGGCGCTGGGGCCGTGGCGGCGCGCGAAGCCCTGGGCGAAGGACTCCGGCTCGCCGTTGACCAGGAAGTTGACGTCGCCCTGGCGCCACAGGGTCACCTCCTTGGCGCGGTGGCGCGCCACCGGCTGGAAGCCCAGGGTCTCGAACAGGCCGGCCAGCGCAGCCGTGTCGGGGGCGGTGTACTCGACGAACTCGAAGCCGTCGGTGCCGGCCGGATTGTCCCAGAGACTGCGGCCGGGCCGGGCGCCCTCGGGCCGGCCGTGGGGGCGGGTCTCGGCGAACGACATGGTGGGGTCTCCTCGGGGTGACGCGGGGCCTGATCGTGCCGCCCAGGATAGGGCGAAGGCCGCGCGGCGTCCTTGCATTCGGTGCAGCCGGTTGGCTGAATGAGCGTGAATCGCGCAGAAGAATCCGAATAAACGGAGATTTCATGCAGAAAGTCGAGCTGGATGCGGCCGACCGGCGCCTGCTGGCGGCCCTGCAGGCGGACGCCCGCGCCACCGGAGTGGAGCTGGCCGAGCGGGTGCACCTCTCCCCCTCCCAATGCCAGCGCCGCCTGCGCCGGCTGGAGGCGGCGGGGCTGGTGACCGGCTACGGCGTGCGGCTCGACCGGCGCCGGCTGGGGCTGGACGTGGTGGCCTTCGTGCAGGTCAGCCTGGCCCGCCACGGCGACGACCCGGCGGCCGGCTTCCACCGCGCCCTGGCGGCCATGCCCGAGGTGCTGGAGGCCCACGCCATCACCGGCGACGCCGACTACCTGCTGCGGGTGGTGGCGCCGGACCTGGAGGCCTTCTCCGACGTGGTGCTCAAGCGCCTGCTGGCCCTGCCGGGCGTCGCCACGGTGCGCTCCAGCCTGTCGCTCGGCGAGATCAAGGCGACCGACGCGCTGCCGCTGCCGCCGGACTGAACGCGCGGCGGGCCGGGCACGGAGCACGGGCAGGCGGGGAGCGCGGGCGGGCGGGGAGCGCGGGCGGCGCGATCGGCGTTTTGCGGGTCGCATCGACCGCCCCCATATGGCAGACAGAGGCCACCTCCCCCGACCGCGGAGCGAAGAGACGTGTTCTGGAAGCTGCTGCCCTGGATCCTGCGCGGCCTGGCGCTGGCGATCGCCGCCGCCTTCCTGCATTTCTACCTGCCGCAGGGCGACGTGGTGCGCATCACCGGCACCGAGGTCAAGCGCATGGACGTCGACACCGGCGAACTGCGCGACGGCGCGCAGCCCGGCGCCACCCGCGACGTGCGCTTCATCAACGCGGTGACCGAGACCGGCGCCACCCGCGTCTATCGCAACGAGGACACCGGCTGGGGCTTCCCGCCCTACCTGAAGTTCGACTCCGCCGACATCACCGCCCAGTCCCAGGACCTGGCCGGGCGCAACGCCTGGGTCCTGGTCGAGCATTACGGCTGGCGCATCCGCTTCCTGTCGATGTTCCCCAACGCCGTCGACCTGACCGAGGTGGAGGCGGGCTACGAGTATTTCCCCTGGGCCGCGCTGATCATCCTGGCCCTGCTGCTGGCCGCCCTGGTGGCCGGCTACATCGCGGTGCTGCGCCTGGTCGCCAGCCTGCACATCGAGGAGCGCATCGCCGGCGGCGAGGAGCGGGTCGAGGATCTGCGCTCGCGCCTGCACCGCCAGCTCGTCGAGTGGCGCGCGCGCCTGCGCGACCTGCGCCGCCCCTGACCTGCGCCCCTGAAGACGGCCGCCGGCCCCGGACAGTCCCCGGACCGGCGCCCGCGCCGGCCGCGCGTTCCCCGGCCCGGCGTCACATCACAGTCGTCGTTTCGTCCAAAGGAAGGACCCTGATCCCATGCCCGACCTGATCCTGCTGCGCCACGGACAGAGCGATTGGAACAAGCAGAACCGCTTCACCGGCTGGACCGACGTCGACCTCTCCGAGGCCGGCCGCGCCGAGGCGCAGGAGGCCGGCCGCCTGATGGCCGCGCACGGCTTCGACCCGCAGGTCTGCTTCACCAGCTACCTCAAGCGCGCGATCCGCACACTCTGGATCGCGCTGGACGAGCTCGACCGCATGTGGCTGCCGGTGCACAAGCACTGGCGCCTGAACGAGCGGCACTACGGCGACCTGCAGGGTCTCAACAAGGCGGAGATGGCGGCCAAGGTGGGCGAGGAGCAGGTCCACGTCTGGCGCCGCAGCTTCGACGTGGCGCCGCCGGCGCTGCAGTCCGACGACCCGCGCCACCCCGACAACGACCGCAAGTACGCCGCCCTGAGCGCGGCCGAGCGCCCGGCCACCGAGAGCCTGAAGGACACCATCGCGCGGGTGCTGCCCTATTGGCACGAGGCCGTCGTGCCGGAGCTGAAGGCCGGCCGGCGGGTGCTGATCGCCGCCCACGGCAACTCCCTGCGCGGGCTGGTGAAGTACCTGGACGGCATCTCCGACGCCGAGATTCCCGGGGTCGAGATCCCCACCGGCACGCCGCTGGGCTACCGCCTCGACGCCGATCTCAAGCCGACCGACAAGTTCTACCTCTCCGAACGCAGCCCCGGCGCAGCGGCGGCGGCCAAGTAGTCGCGCGGAACGGGAAGGGAATAGAAGCGGAACTTTTTTACTTGGGGCTGCGCCCTCGCCTCCTGTATATTCGGTTTTTGTTCCCCTTGGCGGGGACCCGCGCTGCGGTTGGAGACCGGACGGAGACGAGGACCGCCCCATGCTTCTGGTGACCCAGGTCGAAGGCCCCGACACCGCCGCCGTCCGCCACGTCGCCCGCTACCGCTGCACCGGCTTCAACCAGTCCCGTCCCGAGGCCGGCGAGCTGAGCCGGATCAACTGGCTGGTCAGCGCCGCCGGCCGCACCATCGCGGAGTTTCCGGCACGCGGGGCGGTGCTGGAGTTCGCCCCGATGGACGACCTGGAGGGCTGCACCATCACGGTGCAGCCCTACCGCAACCGCCCGAGCGCGCAGGTCGGGGTGACCACGCGCGTGACCCGGGGCGCCCGGCCCCTGGCCCGGGAGGACGCCCGGCCACCGGCCGCCCCCGGTCCTGGCGCGCGCCCCGGTCCTGGCGCGGCTTCTGGTTCTGGCGCGGCTTCTGGCGCTGCCCCTGCGCCCGCCCGGCCCTCTCCCGCTGCCCCGGCCCCGCGGGTCGCCCTGCGCCACGCCGGCAACCGCTTCTACGCGCGCGTCAACGAGGGACCGGAGCGCTACGTCGGCACCGAGGTCACCTATCTCGACCGGCGCGGCCTGATGAACGTCGAGGCCCAGGCCGGCGCGGTCTATGCCGCCGAGGCCCACCGCCACAGCCTGGGACACTGGGCCGAGGTGATCGTCCCCACCGCCATGGCCGAGAGCCGGGGCGCCTACACCTGCCTCAACACCTACGACCGCGCGGCCTTCACCTTCGGCTTCCTGCAGTGGGCGGCGCACACCCCGAACGCCAATTTCGTGTGCCTGCTGCGCAAGCTGCTCGCCCTGCCCAGCGCGGCGACCCTGTTTCCCGAGCTGACCCTGGTCGACGGCCGGGTCGCCCTGCGCGGCGGCGGCGGTCCCCGGCTGCTGGAGAGCGATCAGTCGACCGCGCCGCTGATGGCCTGGCTCAACGACACCCCGGACAGCGTCGACCGCGACGAGGCGCAGGTCGCGGCGCGCTTCGTCGACTGGGCGCTCGGCTATGCCGAGCATCGCCAGGCCCAGGTCGACTTCGCCGTCGCCGAGGCCAAGCGCGCCATGGCCGGCTACGCCCGGCGCTACGGCCTCGACGGGGCCGGTGACGAGCTGCTCGTGGCGGTGGCGGACATCCGCCACCAGGGCCGCGCCGGCAGCGCGCAGATCCTCACCGCCCTGCGTGCCGCCGATCCGCTCGACGCGCTGCTGCGGCTCGGCGCCGAGCGCTACCCGACACGCTGCGCAACGCTGCGCAGCGAGATCGACAAGCTGCGCCGCCAGGGCCGCCTCGGCCGCCTGGTCTTCGACGCGGCCCGCACCGCCTGGGTCGCCAGGCTCGACGTGAGCTGACGCCGCCGCTCGGCGGGCGCGGGGATCAGTTCGCGGCTGCCCGCCCCGCCCCCATCTCGGCGGCCAGCGCGCGCAGCAGCTCGGCGGCCGGGCGGGCACGGATCAGCGGCGCCGCCTGCCCGGCCCAGAGGGAGAGGAATTCGGGCCGACCCTGCTCGGCGGCGGCGGTGCGAATGTCCCGGGTCAGGGCGTTCATCACCGGATAGCCCGGCAGCTCCGCCTCGTGCGCGGCCATCTCGCGCAGGAAGCGGTTGGCCAGGCCGCGCGCCAGCCGGCCGGAGAAGGCGCGAGTCAGCGCCGTCTCCGCCGCCTCGGACCGCTGCAGCGCCGCGCGGTAGGCGGCGTTGGTGCCGGCCTCGTCGCAGGCCAGGAAGGCGGTGCCCAGACAGACCGCCTGCGCCCCGGCGCGCAGCATCGCGGCGGCGGCGGCGCCGGTCATGATACCGCCGGCGGCGATCACCGGCAGGCGCAGCCGCGCCACCAGCAGGCTGACCAGCGGCAGGGTGCCGACCAGCGAGTCCGCGGGCGGCGCCAGGAAGCTGCCGCGATGCCCCCCGGCCTCGGCCCCCTGGGCCATCACGGCATCCACCCCGGCGGCCTCGAGCGCCAGCCCCTCGGCCAGGGTGGTCGCGGTGCCGATGGTGATGATGCCGGCGGCGCGGCAGGCGGCGAGCACCTCCGGCGTCGGAATGCCGAAGGTGAAGCTGAAGACCGCCGGACGCGCCGCCAGTACGGCGGCGATCTGCGCGTCGAGATCCGGCGGCGGCGTCGGCTGCGGGCCGCCAGAAGCGAGGCCGGGGTCGAGGCCGAGTTCGCGGCGATAGGGCGCCAGCAGCGCGTTGGCCCGGTCGATCTGTGCGGCACTGGCCGTCTCCGGCCGGTTGACGAAGAGGTTGAGGGCGAAGCCCCGGTCGGTCAGCCGCCGCGCGGCGGCGACCGCCGTGCCGATCGCCTCGGGCGTCAGGTAGCCGGCGCCGAAGCTGCCCAGCGCGCCGGCGTTGCTGACAGCGGCGACCAGCTCCGGCGTGGTCAGCCCGCCGGCCATCGGCGCCTGGACGACAGGCAGCTCCAGCGCAAGCCGGCGCAGCAGCGAATTATCCATCCCGATCTCGTCCTTTTCGTTCGACCGTTCGTTCGCCTGCCTAGTTTACAAGCATTCTTGCAGGGCCTAGGGCTTGGGTCATTCCACTCGGAGGCAAGGCACCTATGACCCGTCCAGTGACGGCGCTGCTGATCGCGTTGACCCTCGGCCTGATCGCGGCCACGGCAGTCCCGACCCCGTTGCAGGCGCAGCTCTCGCCCCTCACCCAGGCCGTCCAGGGCGGCGGCGACGGCGGCGGCGACAGCGGCGCGGGCCAGAGCGGGGAACAGGGCCAGAGTCCGGGTCAGGGCCAGGGTCAGGGCCAGAGTCCGGGCGAAGGACAAGCCGGCGCCCTGGCGCCGGACACGGCGCGGGCGCTGGCCGAGGCACTGAACGACCCGCAGGCACGCCAGGCGCTGATCGACGAGCTGCTGCGCGCCGCAGGCACCGCCGCGGGGACGACCGGCGGGACGACCGGCGGGGCCGCCGACGGGGCCACAGACGGGGCCACAGACGGGCCGGCGGCAGACGGCAGCGGCAGCGGCACTGGCAGCGGCACTGGCAGCGGCGCCCCGGGGGCCGGCGCCGGCGAGCCCTCCCTGGCGCGGCAGGTGGCCGAGGCGACCAAGGGCGTCGCCGAGGAGGCCTTGCGTCTGGGCCGCCGCCTGACCGGCGCCGTCACCGCGTTGACCGACCTGGCCAGCGGCAAGCGGCCGGTGAACTGGGCGCGGCTGGGCGACACCCTGGTCTCGCTGGCCATCGTCGCCGGCGCCACGCTGCTGGCCTGGTGGATCGTCGGGCGGGTGGCGCAGCGGGTCTTCGCCGCCATGGCCAACCGCGCCGCCGACCGCGGCTGGCTGCGCCGCACCCTGCTGCTGCTCGGCACCGGCCTGGTGGACGCGCTGGTGATCCTGGCGGCCTGGGGCGGCGGCTACGCCCTGGCGCTGTCCATCGGCGACGGCGGTGCGGTGGACATCAACCAGAGCCTCTTCCTCAACGCCTTCCTGCTGATCGAGACCAGCAAGGTGGTGCTGCGCCTGCTGCTGGCGCCGCGCCACGGCGCGCTGCGCCTGCTGCCGCTCGGCGACGAGACGGCGAACTACTGGTACTTCTGGGCGGCGCGCCTGGTCGGCCTGCTCGGCTACGGCTTCATGCTGGTGGTGCCGGTCGCCAACGCCACCCTGTCCTGGACGGTCGGACGCAGCCTGCAGCTCCTGATCGCCCTGGCGGCCACGCTGATCGCCATCGCCGTGATCCTGCAGAACCGCGCGCGGGTGCGCGCCGGGCTGCGCGCCCGGGCCGCCCGACTGCCCGGCGAGGTGACCGGACGCCTGCTCGGCACCCTGGCCCGGATCTGGCACCTGCTGGCGCTGGGCTACGTGCTGGCGCTCTTCGTCATCTGGCTGGCGCGCCCCTTCGACGCCCTGTCCTTCATGCTGCGCTCGACGCTGGAATCGCTGGCCGCGGTGGCGGTGGGCGTGATCATCGTCAGCCTGCTGACCCGCACGATCAGCGGCGGGATGCGGCTGCCCGACGAGGTCAAGCGCAAGCTGCCGCTGCTGGAGGGCCGGCTCAACGCCTTCGTGCCCAACATCCTGAAGGTGGTGCGCGTGCTGGTGCTGATCGGCGTGCTCATCGCCATCGGCGAGGCCTGGGAGGTGCTGGCCTTCTTCGACTGGCTGGCCAGCGAGCTGGGCCGCGAGATCGTCGCCCGCCTGGTCGGCGCGACGCTGATCCTGCTGGTCTCGGTCGCCCTCTGGATGGCGGTCTCCTCCTGGATCGAATACCGCCTGAACCCGGAGGTCGGGCGCGCGCCGACGGCGCGGCTGCGCACCCTGCTGTCGCTGTTCCGCAACGCCTTCACCATCACGCTGCTGGTGGTCGCGGTGATGCTCGCCCTGTCGGAGCTGGGCGTGAACATCGGCCCGCTGCTGGCCGGCGC